ATTGGTCGGATTTCTTATTTGTTGACACCTGAAGCTTTTCTTTCTTGGTATCGGATTTATGAATATTTTTCCGGCCACTTTCTGTGTTTATTATTTCATTGGGCCAACAAAGCAAAATTTAGCAACTTGACTAGTAATTCAGTAGACAGGATCATATCTATTTATTGTGATCAAATTTGAAATATGAGCTCAACACAATTTATAAAGAATTGCAACCACGCTAACTGTCAAATCATATTTTTGACGCTGTCTATAGCCTTGTGGTATATTCTAAATTTCATATTTCAGTCTGTACACTAGGATAATTGGAAATAGTAGTTAATAGGGAAGGCAAAGTTCACGTTTTTAAAATTTTTGACAAGTAATTTTCTAAACCTGATTCCGCTTCACTTTTATTCCTTTTATTTTATTTGGTTAATAACGGATAATTATCGATTTACTCATTTAGATATTTGTGCTTTTATTAAAATATGATTTTGATCTATTGCTATACACACACTCAATACATTTATTGTTACGCAACTCCTTTTATAAAAATTGTTCATTCGAAAAGCATCTCTGAGTCTTTCACTATTCTAATTTCCCTAGTGCTTTAGGATATTATTAAGATGAAACCAGAAGATTTTTCTCATGAACAGAGCCTTGTTAAACCCTTTTATTTCTTCTTAGTTAAGGCATATGAGCTTTGAACCTTAACTGTATCTTTACTCAGTAACCAGGGGGTATTTACAATGACCTTATTAATCATTATCATGTGCGCCAAAATTATTTGATTAGACGTTTTTTTTACTTCTGGGATCTATTCAATGCTCGTTATTTGAGTTTTTTAAATTTTGTCCCCATAACTGCCTCAACACAGGTCTCAGCTTTCGATATCTGAGTAGCGTTTTCAGAGTTTAAATCATCTCCTTGTCACAAGTATTCTGTAAATTTAATAGATTTCGATCGTATGGAAATCTATTGTTGCAAATAAGTAGTTTTTACATTAGCTAATTGTTTTTTCCCGAAACAGCACGATACATTTTTCCCAGAAAATTTAGGTCTAAATGGCCTTGTATTTTTTCCGGAGCTCCGTTTGCTTTAACCTGGATAATCTGCAGTGAATTATGCTACGTTTATGACCTTCGCGAATCATTATAATTAGAATAACTCGTATATCTCTTCAATCTGTCACAATTTCATACTTATTTTAACCTAATAATGTTCAGCGAATGTGTGATCCGTATATTAGTTGGCTTGCTTATTTAAGATATTAAAGGGTGAAACCTATATTATATATATATATATTCGTTATAGGGAATTTAGATTTGCTATTTTGTCTCGGCCAATCCGATTACCACAATGCAGTCCTGATGTTTAATTTCGTTTAAGGCGAGTGGAAGAGATTCGTAAGTTGGTCTCACCAGACGATGTAGAGGGATTGCCTTGGAACTGTGGCTAGATTTGTTAAAATAGCTCCTCGGCGCACAAATCTACATTAAGTGTTTCAAGGCAATCCTCCTACAGCCTTGATTAGGCCAACCTGCGAATCTACTCCGCTCGCCTCTTTAAACCAAATGAAAGGTATTCCAACATTAATATTTCAAGTAATTCTTCGAAACCCAATTTTTTACATACTTTAAGTCTTGCTTGTTTATTTATAAGGTCCAACATTAATAGGTATTCTTAAAAATTAATCATGTGTTGGTTCCCAATTATGCATAAAATGGTTTAATTGTTTTCTTCATCTATCATTTATTGAGTTCAGCTTATATTGGTAATGAATGTGGATACACTATTTTAATTAGACTAGTTGCAAATTTTGATTTGTAAGCGATTGTATCCTTACTGCCAATTAATGCCACTGAAATATTGGATGCGATCCCTCAGTTTATTTTTTCACATCAAAAAAGGATTTTGGTATCTTGTTTTCCGTCACTTTTTGACAGAGCCTTTACTTGGTTCATCACCAAGTTTCCCAGCCAAGCTGAATCTCTACTTCAAAGCCTCGATGCCCAGAAACGGAAACTTATTTTTAAGGACTTAGCCACTGCAGGTCTGAATCAGTTTGCATCCGGAGAGAGTGGCTTTGGATCTAATGATTCTACAGGAGGAGCATCGGCTTCCTTGCCTGGTAGTCGATCGGGAAGCCAAACAAACCTAGCTGGTATCTCAGGCTATTCTGGTCAAGCGCGCGTCGTCTCAGCTGCTGCTGCAGTAACAGGTGGAGGCACTAATTCATCTGTTGGCCCTGTAGCCAGAAGGCCAAGCAAACCGGTTCTTGGGACTGTGGCAGCCGCCGCCGGCGGTGGTATTATGGCTTCTCGGACTCGACCCCCTGCCACCAATCAGCTCGACATGGTTACTGGTTGGTCTCGCTTTATATAATTTTGCATTTATCTGTAATAACTTATTTTAATATTCCTTATCTGAGATAACCAGGCAATGGCCTAGTTTGGTCTTTTTATTGTGTTCTTGTTGTCTGAATTTAAGAAGTGTCCCATTTCATTAATAAGCTTAGATTCTAAATACTTTGCATATTTTCGCCTATTTAACAATTTAATTCAAGCTTTTTATCTACCTTCTAACTAACTGCAAAATTTCAGGTGTAAGCACTTACATCTAGATGATTTTAAAATTTCGTTAGTCTGAATGGCTAATGGCAATTTTCAATTATTTATTGAGGATTAACTTCATTTATTATCTTGCTATTTTACACATTAATGTATGGCTATAGACTCACACTTTTCGTTAAAGATTGCTTTTATATATTTTATCATCTTGCATTTGTATTTGGATCGCAAGTGTAGACCCTCTTATTGTTTCCCCTAACCTTACTTACTTTCAGGTCGAATCATCCGACAGACAGCTATGAACAATTATGATCGTCGTTCCAGAGTCACCGGCAAAAAGACACTGTCTCAGTCTCAGCGTAAGTCTCGATCCTCCTCGCATCTTCCTGGCAGACAAATGCTTGCATTTTATAACATCATATACTTGCATACATCACTTATTTCAGGGCCACAGCCTCTTCATGCCAGCGTTTCCACAGGAAAATGTTCCTCTGATTCTATTCCCACCTCCCCTTCACCTCGATTTCGATCCGTCAGACCAGTTCCCTCCGTATCCCGCACCCGGCCTCCGTATTTCTCCCTACCTCTCTGGAGATCACGAGGAAATTATTTCACGGGGTAGCAGTTTCTCCGAGTAACTTTTGTTATTGCAACCAAAAGCTTCAGTTCCGTTTGGTGCTCTTGATTGTTCCTTTCATCTGATGGAGTTTTTCGTCATCTAAAAATCACATTAAATATTTTCCTTTTAAGCCATGAAATATGTGAGTTTATCGGAGGTTGCAATCGTTCTTCAGTTCTCCCATTTTACAAGCTTTTAGTCTTGCTGGCCGAGGTTTTCTTATAGGAGGTTGTCCAATTCTGAAATTCGCTTTGTATTTATTCCTTTTTAGCTGCCAGCCGTGAAGTTTCTCCTTCTCGAATTAACTCTGCATTAGCATCTCAATACCAACGCCACATTCATCAACAAGCCCCAATGGACACTTTGATTCAAGGAAATGCTGTGCTTCACGCTGGTGGTGATACCGGGCTTCTACAAATTGCAGCCGCTATGCCAACTCATGGGGATTTTAGCTCTATGATCACTGCTTCAACCAGTGGCCAGGAACTTGTCACTGGCACCCTTGGCCGTCGCCTTTCGATGCGCACTTCTGGATCTGGCGTCGTTAGTATGGTAGCTCCAGGTCTCCAAGGTACCTCTGGTGTCTCTTCGAGGATCCCGCGCAGCCAGGGAACTAGCCGGGAGACTTCGCCGGCTCGTTCGGCGGCTAGTGGCTATTCACTGGCCTTTCACCATCTGACGCACCAACATTCTCAGGGCCCGCCACAACATAGGTCATCACTGACTACTGCCACCAACGGAGCTGGGAGGCGCAGCAGTGCCAACACAGCATGGTCAAGACATCGTCGTGAGTTCAGAACCAGAATTCTCCTTTGTATCCTTATAATCGACTCCGATTGCATTCACATTCATACCTTCGCGGTTTTCGTATCACGAAAATTTATTATGTATTTATTAGAGGTTTAATCCTTACATGATTTACGTAAAGAAAATAACTATTCAAATCCTGATCTTGCCTTCCGGTTTACTTTCATTCTATAAATCAAAATTATTACTAGGAGTATTTTGCATCTTATGACTCTTATTGTCAGGACGACTTGGGCGCACCTTGTCTGAAGTCATCTACAGCAGTGATTTCCAAACTGTGCGCCGCGGCGCCCCTGGAGCCGTGAAATATTGTAAAAGGTTCATAATTAATTTAACATAGGCATTTGGCCTAACTAAACAAAA